CATGAGGATCTTCTCTTAAGGATATCACTAACAGAGCTAGGAGGATCAAGACAAGCAGTTGCCAAAAAAAGAAATGTAAAAAAGCCTAAAATAGTACATTTGCCCTAGAGGACTGGCAGGTCCATGAAGCTCTAAAAGTTATAGATGCTTTTACTGGAATTGTAGTTCGCATACAGATTTCTTTTCCCCAGGACAGGCATTTACTGAGATCCAAGTGCTCTTTAAAAGGAATCTGGATATAAGCAAATGACTGTTTCCTTCAGGGGATTTAACTTCTCAAGTCCCCAGTCAAGAAGCAAGCTGATGTTCTGCTTGAAGTGAAGAATAAGAGTGAACATAGTGGTCCCAGCTGTGCCAAGAGTCCAAGATGCAAGCTCCTGTTAGGCACCTGAAGACAGTCCAGTCAATCCAAACTTTCATTCTATGGCTGTAGCCACATAAATACATTTTTTATGTCCATAAACAAGAGAGAGAGTTCAGTAGTGCAACTACACCCTGCTTAAGGAATGCAAAGCTTCCAATTCAACATATAAATTGAATGGAAAATACTGAATGATATCTTTGCAAGTTGGTTCAGCTATACTGTTTTAAAGTATTGAGATAATTTCTCAGTTGAGGATGACTAAAGGCCCATCTTTGGATGAGGGCCTTCCTCACCTGGAAGACGCTTAGAATTAAGATTAAAATACACAAAAAAGCCATGGACAGACTGACAATTGTGGTGCCTACCCATCTTGACAATTCTTTTCCCCTACAGCTACCAGACTACAGTCATACCAGTTCTTGCTTAGTCTCCATCATTTCTATCTTCCTACCTCATGGCTAGTCTTTGGAAGAATAAAACCTTTTATGCTCTCTTCTGGGTTGCTTGCTGTGCAGCAGGGATCCAGTTCAAACACTCTCAAAAATGAACCCATAGTTTTTAAAACTGTTGATGTGAGACTCCTTTACTGGCCACTCTCAGGTCAGGTTGTGATGGCTGCTGATCAGCAGCTGTAGCAGCAAGCAATTCCGGGTGTGCTATCAGAGCAGCACTCAGAGTCCTACAGCTGGGGATTCATCCTTCCTCCCCTTCTTTTATCCCTTGTTCCCTGCCCAGCTATGAGGCTGGTGTGTATCTAGCCAGCTCAGCAGTTGAGCTGCTGGTGGTGAATGTTACAGAGCAGTTTACATGCCTTGTGTCATAAGCCCTGTAAATGCCTAGTAAAACATGGTATTTAATGGAAGCATATCAGCTCATTTTAAAGCTTCTTCACCTGGTGCTGAGCAAACTGTTGCTGTGCCGCCTTTTTAATCAGTTACCACCAACTGTGTGCGCGTGTGAGAAGGGTTTTAAACATTTCTCTGTCCACTTCCAGGCAACTAACCGACAAGCCTACAATCCTCTTATTATGCCTCGAAACAGAGTCCATTCACTGTTATCTATAGCACATGTTATCATAGGGTATTCTGCAGAGCCAGGCTTATAGAACACATCCCTAATGTTTCTCGTACACCAGGTACATATCAGTTAGACACAGACCTACCAAGCACACGCACATGCCTCTGAAGGAATGTATAACAGGATGTTCAGGAAGTTACACCTGATGCAGGGCTTTGTTTGCAGGATGAAAATACAAGAGACACTCCAGCAGTAACCGTTACTGACATAATACTAATTGAGGCCCAAGACATTCATGCAACCATGTTGACTCTTTATGTTAGAAGAGGCCAGAAATTCAACACTCCACAGGATGCTGTTACCCCGCCATATATGTCTCAAACATATAACACCTGCACAGACTGATGGAAGATCCTTCACTCCTGGATTTCATTTAAATAGTGCAGACTTAGGGGCAAATTTAGTTTTATAGAACATACCAGGTGTAATCCTCTAAATTCTGAATCTTCAGGTATTTCATTTAGAAGAATACATTCAAGTCATGCTAACTGGAGTAATTTGGAGCAGATTTCCACTTTTAATGATACCTTCCCTTCTTTTTTTTTTTTTTAAATTTTCTTGCTTTTCTTATTGAAAAGAAGTTACTGTCCACACTAACAATGCCAGAATTCAAATGACACTTATCAGACTGAAAGTCTTTCTCCCATTTTCATGCATGTAAGGTATCCATTTATCTCAATAATTACAAAGTATGTTTCAGTCACACAAGTCTGAACAAAATGCATAATCTTACCCAGCGTAGAAATATATCCATTACAGGCTCACATAGAGGTTTGTATAGATCATAGAGTTAGCACATAAACCCTGAGGAACATGAAGAGATTTAAAAAAACCCAACCAACCAACCTAATCCACTTATATAATGGCATGAAAGGGGGTAGTACTATGATCTTATTTGCCATGAATGCTGTAAAGGAAAGAAGCTGACGAGTAGAATTACATGCCACAGAAGACTATTCAGAGTTTGTTCAGTTTTCTCACCTGTCAACAGGAACAACATTAGGTTAAATTAATATTTTTGTAGAACCTGGAGATCCTCATTTGTTTTGGTATCTACATGGAGCCAGTATGGCTAGTTTCTGAATGCAGGCTGTGGTCTGCTTTGTAGTCTCTTTTCTGAGCCATGGATTCCCTGAATTTGAGCCTGAGTCTCAGTCTGCACTTCTTAATCCAACACCAGAAGCTTTGAACAATTCCAGCCTCCCTGATTCTGTTTCTATTAAAAACAAAACAAAACGAAAACCCCCACAACCCAATAACATTACAGTGGAATGAACAAAGTCCTAAGAAATAAATCTTTGAAGGCAGATTTCCTGAATACTTGCCCTAACAGTTCACGGGTTTTGGGCTCACTGTATTTTCCTCATTTATTTGCTTGACTTGCTGCCTGCACGTAGCTAGATAGTTAATAGAAGCAAGCCTGTCCTTGGAGGCCAATATGCACTGACTGGCTGTGTCTTTGGTTCAGGTCCATTAAAAAATCTGAGCATTAATTAATCACTGACTTGCAAATAGCTTGGAAGAGCTGTTCAGGCTAAATTGGAACGTTCAGCAATTGTTTTACTTTTGGTCACAGGCACTTCGGTGATATGAAACTTCTCCCCTGCCAGGATAGGATGTGTATAAATCCAGCCACTCCTGTGTTAGAGCAGACCAGCCTGGAGACTGCTCCAAGCAGCTCCATTTCTTTCTTTAACTAGGAAACTGCACACATGAGGAAGAGCTGTCATAAGCAGCACTCTTGATAGAATCCCTCCATTGAAAAAGAAATAATAAAACCTACCAGGGCAAAATGCCAATGGAGCATACTGCATGGGCAAAGAGCCTTCCCTGCTTGCTGTCTGCCAGGCTAGTCAAAACCAGCTTCTCCTCCTTTTTCACTCAGCTAGGTGAAACCATAACTGTAGAAATCAAGCTGCTGCTTCAGCTTTCCGTACATCACCACCAACAAAGATCTCTGTGATCTGGGGCCTGTTTTCTGTGCTCTAGCTGCTGATGGTCACGAGTGAAATGAGAACGATGTAGCTCTGTCTGCAGAAGGCAAGCCAAGCAAATAGAGATTGTTAGACCTCACATCTGAAACCTCTGTAACGTGAAGCACGAAACAAAAATCTTTACGGAAAGGGAAACTAAGCCAGCATGACCTACAAGTCATGAAGAAAAACGTATTCAAGGGAGTCATGATCTCATTTGTATATGGACTCTTCCCATTCCTCACTGCAAAAACTGTTCTTGATAAATAAGGAAGATAAATAAGCAGTTGTCAGTACAATGAGTACTAAGTGAGGAGGAAAATTAAAGGTGAAACTAAGGCACATGTTCTTAAAACACCAAAATACCAATATAAGAAAATAAATACCTAAACCCAACAGTAATGACAAATTTTTCCTCAGTAGCAAGATATACCACATGCGTGTATGGTGCAAGAAGCTATTCCCTGGAAACAGTTAACCTTACCGGGCAAAAAAGAGCTTGTATTCCAAATGCTCAAGTCTGATAAGTGACCTTAATATATTCATTCCCCTCCTTCCCCCAAATTTCACTTTCAGTGGAGAAGCCAAACCAGAAAACCCCAAATGATTAAGAATTACTTTCCCTGCTCCCTGTTTCTCGCTCTTATTCCCACACAGTGTGCACATATGCATGGATGGTGAAGAATTATGTCTCATATGAACATTTCCCCCTCGCTACCCTAAAGCTGTAAACCTTCCCCAACTTCCAAAATGCAGTGGAGAGGTAAATAGGCAATCACAGCTAATCTTTCTCCCTCTGCAATGTTTCTAAACCTGTGGAAATTTCAAAAGCTACCAAGATAGAATGACAAAATGAAATAACACACCCAAGCTTGAAGTATGGGCACTGGTTATTTGATTGAGCATGGTGACAGAAAGAAAAAGAAAAACATGAAAACAGACCGTAAGACCAGTCAGAACAATTCTACAAATTGTTGATACACTGAGATAGCCAGATGGATATGTGGTTTTTGAGGAATGAGACGTTCCTTCTATTTGAGCACTCAAAAATGCGAACAAGTTTGTCGGTTTTGTTTGCAGAGCTCATTTTCCATTTCTTTGTCAACTGGTATTAAAGACCTGGCCCTGAGGCAGCTACAGAATCTAATGGATCCTTTAGAGCCTTTTGGCTGCAGTTTAAAGGTGGAGAAGCTATTTTAACTCAGTACCAAAGATGCACTTTCAACTTGCTATTAAAACGATAATACAAACACAGGGATAATGAGAGAATAAGGAGAGAAATGAAGAAAGAAATGGAAGACTGTGGAAGGGAATGGATCACAGGCTCTCCAGGACTAGTTTCTATAATAAGTGTGCGAGACAATCTCCTACAAGAGGGAAATGGCTTATTTGATCTAATATGCCTTTCTCTTCTTGAATTTCCACAGTATGGAGAATCAATATGAGAGAAATTAAAGCATCGGGAGCAGACTCACATTTCCACTTGTGTGTTCCGATCTCAGCAGACTCTTATTGAGATAGAAATATTTACCTTAAGTGCCCAGTTCACATGTGCTGCAAGAGGAGGAAGGATTTGAAAAGGATACATGCTTCTTCTGTGTAGGGGACAGCAGAAGTGGGTCCTCCCAAGATGTAGCTGTAGAAAGAGACTTCCAGAGTGTAGCAGTAGGACGTATCATTTAACAGCCCACCAAGAAAACGCCTGCCTGTCCCTGCTTTCACAGCATCTCTGTTGAACGATGTACTGGACTGCAGGAGGAAGAACACAGAGACACAAAGAGATTTCATGAGTGGAACAAGGGAAGGGTTGGGAATGAGTCTGTTAAAATAGAAAAACGTTAAATTCACATTGCCAAATCTCATTTACGCTATATGAGGCTGCACTATTTTTTGAGCATGGCCTGGAGAGACCATTAATGGAAACACAGTTCTGGCACACAGGCTATAAATAATGCCTTGCAGACTTTCACAAAATTAATCTCAGTTTGCTAGTAACATCAGCTTTTCTCCTCCTCTTTTGGGTAACACCAAGAAAAAGCCTGTCATATGCACGTGTTGAAAGTGAACTTCCCAGACCCTTCATTCTCAGAAGTTAAGCTGGACTATTATTTCAATATTGGGTTCCTTCTCTCTACTGCATTCCCGTGGTATCACAACCATTCTGCCCAACCCCTTCCCCTGGACTCTTTTAAGCAAAGTAGAAATACAGTGGCATTTACGTTTTAGTGAAACTTTCTCACCTAAGACATTTGACTGGTTCTTAAATTAGGTCACACAAATTTCCACTTCACTAACTGAAATGTTAACTGGGTGTTGCTCTCTGGGTGGAAAAATATACTGCACTATTTTACAGCATTAGCAGCACAGTATAAAAAGGCAGTATTTCGTCCTATTACTGGAGATCTGGCTTTAAGAACCCTACAGCTTTATAACTATTCATTTGAGGGGTGGAGGGGAGGACTCAAGTATTTCCATAAATGCGTTTTAGCTCTCCTTTGAAGGCATGACATCTGGAGACTAAAGGGGAGCTCATCTTCAGGTTGACTGAAGTGTCAGAGCTTGTTCCTATCAACTAGACAGAAAAATGGATTCTGATTTCATTTTTGTTATCAGACTCCATTCACAAACCTCATAACCATTAGACTGCATCAATCCGGGCTCAGCACAAGCTACTGAGCACCACAAACAAACAAAAAAAGCAAAAAAAAAAAAAGTGCTTAGTAGATCCAACTTGGATGCTGCATAAAAGGCCTTAATATGTCTTGCTTTAAGACTTTTATGTTGGCAATGACACATAAAGGACCCTTAACACAGCTCACTGTTCAGTCATTGTGCCCATGGTGAATTGTTTGAGCTATCCATGGTCCTCCTATTGAACTTTAAGGCTAGTATCTTTTCTTGCTACCACAATGTTAGTATTTATCAAGTCCATCTCTTATAAAAACCAGGGCAGACAAGATTTCTTTCTTATTTAAAAAATTAGATGCGATGGTTCAAAATGTTAAACTTCTCTAGACTGAGAAAATCAGACTAATACTGAAATGAACAACAATTCTTGATTAATAGTGTATACCAGAAGATATAAAGAATGGAAATACCTGTGGGTTCATTAACATTCTGAGTGTTTTGAAGTCTCTCATGTTATAAAAAGGAAGGCTTTACAGGTTAATTAGAATAAGATGGAATTGAGTTTCTTATTAGCATTATATATAGGAGTTTCCAAATGCAACTTGTTGTCTTTGTGGTAACATAACATTTAGCTTTGTGGTAAATTGTACACAGAATGTATTCTGCTATGTACACATCGTATACTTTCCTCCAAATTACATGGCAGAAACATTGAGGATATTCTGAATACCCATGGGACAGGGCAGTAAAGCACTCATAAGGACTGATGGGGAAATTAATTGTTAATTTGATATATGGAATAAAATACTTAAGGAGGTCTACAAGAGGCAATGTTCTCTGACTTTCTGCAAATGAAGCCTTCAAAGACTAGCGAGACCCTGACACTGAGGGAAACTTTGTCTTTTGTCAAAATTCATAAACATAAAGGAAGATGGTCATGCTCTGGGATTGCTTCATAAGTTAAGTAAACACTGATTTCAATGGATAGTGCTTCATGTTCAAATGAATGGCTGTGGTGGAACTTTTAATGCACAAAAGCATCAGCTGATGAATATGGGTGTATGGAGCCAGCTCAAAGGAAGAGGACAACAAACATGCCAGAACATGGTACTGGGGTTTGTGAGCAGAAGCATCACTCACAAGGGGAATGAACTAATTCTATGGCTGTACTTGGCACAGTGCAAACAAGGAAAATGTCAAAGTGATTCAGAGCAGACATTAGAGAGAGAAGTACTCCAGTGATTAGGAGACTCAGTTACCGATGTGGAGTATCTATGAAGATTATGGAATCTCATCAACTATGTTTAAGAACAAATTGGACAAGTATCTGCTGAGTATAGTTCATGTCTTTGGGATACAGTTTGGACTGGAGGTCCTTTTCAGCTCTATTTCCCATGATTTCAGTCAGGCTTGAGGAAGGTTATGAGTTGAATTCCTCATAGATGATTCTTGAAATAAATTTTATGTAATATTTTCATCATAGTTCTTGGCGCAGTAAAGGAGGACCATGCCAACAAAATTTGCTGATGACACACTGTGGAATGAATCCTCATTATGGAGGAGGCTCCAAATATCATACAAAAAAAAAGGTAGTGGGATGACTTCAAGGTCTGGAGTGATAGTAGTCAGAGAAAACTCAGCTGCACAAGTGCCAGGTCATGTATCAGAGCCTAATAAAAAACAATCTCTGTTATAAGCTGAAACCTCATCAGCTGGAAATAGATGAAGAGAGAGTCTGATGTATTCCTTCACTGAAGTGATTTTTGCTTTCTGGCAGAAAATATCTTGGAAGTTGGATCTAGTTATTGGCAAAATTATACTTGCCATATTTCAGAAGTGAAGCATAAGTAGTTTAAATAATTTGAAGAAGGTTTTGCAAATGGCCAAAAAAAGAAAACAAAATTTGGATCTTTCCAGAGTTTAAATTTTTATAATGCTATTTTGTGGGGTTTAGGGCTTTTGTTTTGGTTTTCTTTCTCTTTTTTTTCTTTTTTGTAATAGAAGAGTTCCAGTTTTATCTGTGCAAAATTACTTGAAAAAGCAATGGCATTAATAAGAATCACCTGTTCATTTTTTTTTGCCAGGTAGTGCTGCACCTCCAGGAATAAAAAAAAGCTGAGCCTTCATTTAGGTGCATAAATGTAGACTTTGGAGGTTAACTTTGTCCTCATTTTGAAAAAATATGATGGCATAGACCAACTTGTCTTAAATAAAAAGTAAAATCTCTGATTTGACTCAAGAAGGTTGAAGTAGAGAAAATATAAAATAAACCCTTCAAATATGAGCACATGCAGGTTTTGAAACAGCAGCTTGGGCTTGGCTGTAGAACAAATGTTATAAGCCAGAATGGGATCTGATGTTTTACACAAAAAGAAGAAAATTACAGATTCAAGAAAATTCAACTAATGACAAGGAAAGACAGCAGGTACTTGCTTGAGTCCAAACTTCTATTCACTGTTTCAGGTCAAGATAAATGGAGTGGAGAAATAAACAGGTAAAACTTTGACTCCTCACCAGAACTGATCTTGGCAAGTGATAATGCTGAAACAAAGGCTATGGAAAGCTATGTATTATCATGGCAAAGACAGAGCCTTTTGCATGCACATTTATTTAATCAAACTCTGATCTGGGGCAAAGGGGCAGGGGGAAGGGGGAGAGCAAGATGGGGGGAAAGAACACAGGTAAGGTTGTCTGCAAATGAGTCTTTTGTGTTTCTGGGAGAATCTATTGCCCTAAAACCCTCGCAAAGCTGAACTGAAGTCATCATTAAGCAAATGCACTGAGCAGGCACAGCAGGAGAACAGCTAAACAAATATTTATTTCTCCAAGGCTGAATCGCATGGGAGTGTCAACAGCAGCAGCAGCAAAAAGTACAAAGTCTGGAGAGTGGGGGATGGAGGAAAACACCAAAGACTTTGAAGTTCTTAAATAGGGATATTTGTATAAAATCAACAGTAATTCATTATTAGAACACACAGATACATTAAAGCTCACAGAAGAACTCTGCTTCCCAGCTTGTGTGAGAAAATTCAGTGAACAAATAGCTATCTACAGGAGCAGGAGGCACCAAGCAACAAGAATCCGGTGTTAAAAGAGCAGAACAGGAAGGCGGAAAGATTCCCCCACTTTCTGTAGTGAAAAAAAACACTAGAAAACTACACCTGGATTTCACACACACTTGGGAGCTGCAAGGCGTGCCAACCCTCTTTCTACATCTCAGGCATCAGTGGCAGCTTCCCCAGGCCTTCCCACCAAATTTCATTCCTCCTCCCCATGCTTTTCTGAATACCTTCTGTATGACCAATTTCCCCATTGGGAAAGGCAGAGAACAGCAGCACAAAGAAATGTGTAAATCAATTGGACCTTATTCAGACATTGCAGTACACAAAGATATGTGTGGAAAGAAATAAGGGGGGAAAAATTGCATGCAAATTCTTTCTGGAGTGGTCTCAAAGCAGAAGAAAAAAATCTTGGCCCTGGTCACCTCTCAATGTGCCAGAAGCCTTGTCTCCAGGGACGTCTTGTCTCTTGGCTGGTAAGAACACTCTCTACCAGGGCAAAGGGACAAGGTACAAAAGAGTACTTTCTCATACAGGACTTGTTGGAGAATGAGAAATTACTCAACACACTGGGGAGAAAAAAGATCAAGGTGTGACCACAGTGCATGTCAGACCTTGCCAGGCTGGGAGCCAGGACATAGACTGCACATCACTTGTGATCAATCCTAAGGTGTTTCTCCAACCCAGCAAGAAAGGAAAACACAAAGTACAAATGACTCAGTATTTAGGGAAGAAATTGTCAACCAGACAGAAATCTGATCACAGGCTTTGATAGATTGAGAAAGATGAGTTTCTGATGTAACAAGGTCTAGGGGGTTCCCAAAATCCAACGGATTTTACCAGCTGTTTACATCTACTCTAGCACAATTGATTGTTTATGTGCCCATGGAAGGAAGTAGCAAACTGCATATATCTTCAAAAACTTGAGCTCCAGTGTGCACACGAATGTTTCCCAGAAGGTCATTGTCCACACAAACAGAGTATCTGCATGAAACTCAGAATAAAGAGATCTTCCCATTTGCTGATATAGTTCAGGAAATGTTTTATAAAAGGATGTAGCAT